GCTCTGTGGAGCGGTGTTTGTGCACATCACCTCCTGTCTGCTACATCTGCAGAAACAGAGGGAAGGGAGACCCTACAGGAGTCACAGATTAGGATGAACCCCCGAAGTACACACCAGGGACCTGTCGCTGGAACAGCAGAAGGCAGGAATACACCACGGCAAAGCCCTCTTATTTCCAGCTCTATACAAAATTCAACATCAATGTGCGGGTTTCACTCACTGCATTGTTACAGGGAATTCATAAGATGGGGCAAGAAGCAATGGGCACAACAGGGAACCCTGAAAATTCCCGCTGAATGTGAGAGAAAACGCTGTGAGACATCTTGCGTGTTCTGAGCTGCAGGGGAGCTGAGGCTTGTTTGGGTTTTGGATGAACGAACAAATCTCTGCTGCATTTCCAGCCCACTGCTCTGCCGGGGCTGGATCCGGCTGCGGGTCCCCCAGGAAGGTGGGTTCCCTGGGAAGGTGGGTTCCCCGGGAAGGAGGGTTCTCCAGGAAGGTGGGTCCCCCAGGATGGCGGGTTCCCCGGGAAGGTGGGTTCCCTGGGAAGGTGGGTCCCCCAAGATGGTGGGTTCCCCGGGAAGTCCCCCAGGATGGCGGGTTCCCCGGGAAGGTGGGTTCCCTGGGAAGGTGGGTCCCCCAGGAAGGTGGGTCCTGCTCCCACAGCTCCTTCCCCAGCGCCAGGCACATCCTGGGGAGCGGTTCTGCCTCCTGCAGACCAACACGTCAGACACCCAAAACCAGCGATGGAAAGGAGCCCCGTGCCTTGGCCGCCGCGTGGGACTGGGCTGGAACCCACCCTGTGCTGGGGAGCCGGGGCTGGGACCCCTGCCCGGACCCACACTGCACATTGCAAAGAACATTTATTTTTGGATCACTTACGGCCACTAAAACATACTCGGGCTGTTTTCGGTCTGACTCACAGCTGAATTCCTCTTCTTCTGGAGGCCAAGTTTTCTGTCCCCACCCAAAACAAGGGAAGATAAAGCAAAATGAAACCGATAGACCCAGCTGGACCTGCCATGCATTCGTGACTCTGACAGAGAGGGGTTGATCTGAATGTCACCTGGGACCTACAAACCCAGCCAAAAGCCTGTGCAGGGTCATAGAACTGGGACCAGCACCATGCTGGGCTGGGGGAGCTGTGCGCTCACCTGAAGGTGTCTTTTTACAGAATTATGCGTTTTACCTGGGAAATGAGACCCAGCCGGTTTGTGCCAAGGCCCTGGGACCTGCATCTGCAGGGAGGAACTTGGGAGGGAAGAAAACGGTCCTCTTGGATATTAGCCTTCCTGGAAAGAGACTTCCACGTTTGTCTCATTGGGTGCTCCAGACTATTTGTTCCTTTCTGAGATAATTCCTGTAGGGAATCTTTTTTTGTTGCATTTTTGCTGTTTTGAATTGCAAGACCAGAAGCACCATAGTAAAACATGCAATGATCAGAATTTTCCTTTGTCAGTTTGGGGAAACGGAAGCAGATGGCATTTGAGAGACTGCCACGACATCAGAGGCAGCTCAGGAGGTGCAAGGGACCACCCCCAGTTCGTTACGTTAATCAATCTCACATCTCTGGGACAAAACCAGACCCAGCAGTACGGTTCCTGAGGGCTGACTAAGCCGGATCTGTTCTCTTGCCTGGCGCTGGGTCCGACCAGGCTGCTGCAGTGCTGCCTTCAGCCACAGGAGAGCATGAGGAGCCCGGGCTGGGGCGAGGGTTCACGGGACCAAGCCTGAGCTGGATGGGCACAGGCTCGCCCTTAGACCTGGCGCGGGTAAGAGCCAGTGCACAGCTCTGAGTTTGGTGCATGTGCGGAAGGTTTCTCCCTGAGTGTCTTTGCATTACCCCTGCAGCTCAATATGACCGTTGCCGTCCCTTCGCCGCTCCTGTTTTCTAAAGTCAGCGATGCACGGAGTGTGAATCTCCTCTGCTGAATTTTCCTTTCAGAAGGAACTAGTCTGTACTGCTTGGTATTTGTAATTCATTGTCTTCTTCCCTTCGGAACAGATTGGGTCTAAAACTTAACCATACAAAGAACATGTATTGTTATTTTGGCTGTGTATATGTTTATATCTGGTTTATATCTGATTCTTCCCATGGAGTGAGATCCAACTTGCCCTTCGCAGTTGCTGTGGATGCTCTGGTCTGAGCACAGCTCTGCTGCCAGCAGGAGGCTGGATTAGATGGGCTCCTGGGGACCCTTCCCACACGAGTTCACGCGGCCCAGCCACGTGCGCCGGCAGCCCATAAAGCCATGTGTGTCCTGGGGGCATCCCCAGCAGTGTGAGCAGCAGGGCGAGGGAGGGGATTGTCCCCCTCTGCTCCGCTCTGGTGAGCCCCCCCCTGCAGTGCTGCCCCCAGCTCTGGGGTCCTCAGCACAGGACAGACACGGAGCTGCTGGAGCGGGGCCAGAGGAGCCACGGAGATGGGCAGAGGCTGGAGCAGCTCCCGTGCGAGGACAGGCTGAGCGAGTTGGGGGTGTGCAGCCTGGAGAAGAGAAGGCTCCGGGGAGACCTTC